TTTAGTACTTTTTACTGTCTTTTTGTAATTGTGTAGAAATACTGTAAGAAACACTGAAATAGAGGTTCTTAATACATGTAACTTAGTAGTAGTACACAGATATAAAATATGGCACTAATTGAAGATTTCAGTTTTTATGCAGTTACATTTTTTACAAGACTGTACTTAACTCTGAGATGCAAATAACTTAAAAAATGTTAGTGTATTATTTTACTTCCCGTGCCTTGTGTACTTGGTAATCATACTGTAGGTTGTCTGTGCACAGTCATTCATCTGTTAGCAGATGTTTCGGCAATAGATCCATCATCATTGAAATCTCTGGGGGAAATACCTATTGACATCTTGTTAAAGCGGTCTGAGATCTGTCTTTCAGTCTTCAGTATCATAGGGCAGGTGTCTGTTCATTTTCACTGACAGTAGGGAAATCTCTCAAGAGTTGCTTTAGACAGCATCTTGTCACTAGTTAGTGCTTCCATTGACAGGTGGTTCTTTCTAATACAGGGCAACAGGTGTTTCTTTGTTCATCATCAAATGGGCTATGACCATGGTGCAAAAACAAAGGCCTCTTTCCCACAAATTAATGAACAGCAATTATAGTTAGGCAAATGTTTAGAAGAACCTGATGATGAAATACCTTACTGATGTGCAGATGTTTTAGAATGCTACTTTTTATGTACTTAATCCACCTTCTGTTTTCTGGTTTGCACTATGAGCCCTAAAACATACTCTGAAAACATGTTTTCAGTAGAACCATGTCTGAACGGCATCAAGCAATTAGAAAATTTGCTATACACTTCCTTGGAGTGATGGAATACAGGGGTTAGAAAGAACATATTAACAGAATGTTAGTGTAAGGTGTGTTTATATTAGAAAAATTGTATATAATGTATAATATTTTGTGATAGTGGAGCACATAGGGAGTAAGGCTCTCCTAGAGAACTGTTAATTGAAATCATCCTAGTACATGTACTGTAAGACTAACAAATCTATGACTTCTAAAACACAGATACTGTATATTCATCCATCAATCCATCCATTTTCTAACTGCTTCTTCCAGTTTAGGGTCAATGGGAGCCTATAATAATAATAATTATAATAATTGCTTTCATTTATATAGCGCTTTTCTGGACACTCCACTCAAAGCACTTTACAGGTAATGGGGACTCCCCTCCACCACCACCAATGTGCAGCATCCACTTGGATGATGTGACGGCAGCCATAGTGCGCCAGAACACTCACCACACATCAGCTATCAGTGGGGAGCAGAGCAGAGTAATGTAGCCAATTCATAGAGGGGGATTATTAGGAGGCCATGATTGGTAAGGGCCAATTGGAAATTTGGCCAGGACACCGAGGTTACACCCCTACTCTTTTCGAGAAGCGCCCTGGGATTTTTAATGACCACAGAGAGTCAGGACCTCGGTTTTACGTCTCATCCGAAGGACGGCGCCTGTTTACAGTATAGTGTCCCCATCACTATACTGGGGCATTAGGACCCACATGGACCGCAAGGTGAGCGCCCCCTGCTGGCCCCACTAACACCTCTTCCAGTAGCAACCTTAGTTTTTCCCAGGAGGTCTCCCATCCAGGTACTGACCAGGCTCAAACCTGCTTTTTTTCAGTGGGTTGCCAATTGTGAGTTGCATTGATATGGCTGCTGGTTTACAGGTTTACAGGTAATGGTTTACAGGAAATGAGGACACCCCTTCACCGTCACCAACGTACAGCATCCACCAGCCTATCCCATCAAGAGGCCCAAAGCAGGATGCAGATATTCATTGGTGTTTATTTCTTTTTGTAAAGTGGACCAGTTTCATGTGCCAAAATATCTACAATAATGAACCCTATATGACCATCAGTGTGGCTTAACAACACAATTTATAGTACCTTTAGTACTTTATAGTACTATAAAATTGCATTATAAGTAGTACAGTATATAAATCACAACCAAATATGTGTACACATCTGTTTACATGCTCAATGTAAACAATGTAAACAGTTTATATCAATGTTTATAATAAGTATTGACAATTGTGTAGCAATGTTTAATAATTTATAATACAATAAATTATTTTCATGTAACATTTAATGTAATGTTTGCATCTGTGCAATGGTGTTTGTCCCCATTCTTCAATCTAAATAACTTTAAGTGCTTTTTCAGTTGTGTTGTGTTCTCAACCATGGATATCTTTAGATCCATGAATAATATTTCAGCACAATTGCAATGATCAATCCAGCATTCTCCCCTTTTAGAAATTGCTCTGATGTTCACATACTTCTTCCCTTTGTTTTAGTTCATCTTCTAAATTTCAGGGAGAGTTCTGGTTTCATTTAAAATTGATCCAGCAGTAGTTCTAGGTATACTAAGCACTTTTACTGTGCTTGTGAACAATTTGTTGTAATTAAAATTGATCTAGCAGTAGTTCGAGGTATACTAAATACTTTTACTGTGCTTGTGAACTTTTTGTTGTAATTAACTTACTGTCTAGGTTGTTTTTCTGGCTTTGATTTAAGAACTTTGTTTCAAGAGCTTTTTAAGCTCAATGGTTAGAGTATGTGATAATTAATTGCAGATTTTCATACCACTAATTATAAGCCAATTTATACAATATTACACAAGTATCTTCTGTAAAGATTTTGTCCATGAGTAATATTAGTTTATTGAAGAGTAACTGTGTATGTTTGTAAAAGTAATCTACACATTTAATTCATATTTAATTTTCTTCTTTTTTTTTTGCTCATGACATTTACTTCAGGAATGTGATTTTAACCTTTAATGTATTGCATATTCTTAGTTTTTCTTAGCTTATACAGTAGGGCCAATAGTTTTTTTTTAGTCTATATGTTTATATTAATGAAAACTCAAGCTAGTTCTTTGAAAATATTTTAGAAAGCATAGAAAATAGCAGTTGACTTTGTCTTGCGGAAAGGGGGTCAGACTTAGAAGCAAGAAACAGCAGTGATTAGCTATGTTTTTCACATTTCAAAACATGTTTCATACCTTTAAGGGACAATAGGACCTGTTTAGAAAATACAGTACTGGATATGCAGTTGATCTTGCAAGAAAGGGAATGTTAACTAAATGTGATTCAGAAGCTTATTCTCATGTGGGGAAAAATACAAATCAATAGCAAATCACACAGAACAGCCAATTAAAGCACAGTTGAGAAAATACAACCAGTAATGATTTACTGTAACATTGTAATATTGTAAGAGTGGAGTTTTAAGACTACAAAAGAAAATGAATAATGTATGAGCAAAGCCATGGTACTTTGCAAACATTTTTGATCACACATTACTTACACATTTACAAAAAAGTTTTCCTTATGATTTATGAATGCCCAATTTGTGCTTATGTGTAAAGCTGCATACTGTATGAGGCTCTCAGGAAACCTACAGCTTACAAGAAAATAAAAATGGTTTTATCTTTTGTTGTAGCTCATGAGAGGCAAGAAAATGAATTAGTAATTACTAAAGTTGCAGCTACAGTCATTTCTGTTTTTTTTTAAGTATAAGACATGGGTAATGTCAGAATCATTAGACTAGGAGATGGGCAAAGTTTGTTCTGATCAAATGAATTATTCCTGTAACTGTATTATTATCTCATATGGTAGTGACACAATAACAAAGGTTTTCATCATTCCCACTGTGCTCTACTAACACTAATTAAAGGATTATAGCCTTAACCCTTTCTATACCTTTTCTGCTTTAGGCCCTGAAATAATACAATGTTTAGAGTAATATTTTAAAGCAAGTCAAGAATATTCTGAAGGAGCATGAGGTCCTCAAAACCAACATTAAAGACCTTTGACATTTTACATTTTATAGCAATACACAGGTACAGAGCAGCAATTAAAACACAAGACAATTGTAAGCATAATTTCCCCTTTTGTAATGATACTGTATATCTTTAAAGAAATGTTTTTCTCACAGTATTGTACATAAGAACATAAGATCACAGATGAAAAAAATCAATTTGGCTTGTCTAGCTCATTTGGTCACAATAGTGGCTAATTGATTCAGGATGTCATTGGTCATTTCCTAAAAGAAAACCAAGGTACTGTATGTATTTCAACAGCATGGCTGAGGAGCTTGTTTCATGCTCCAACAACCCTTCTGTAAAGAAGAGCCTGCTTTTCTTAGTTTTCATTTGTGTCCTCTTGTTCATGTTTCACTGTTAAAAACATATTAACACAGAAAAGGGTTAGGAGGTATCAGGATGCAATATGTGTCTTGTTGACAACGTAATCGAAACATATTGCTTTTAAATGAGATATGCATTTTTAATAGTCACATCTGTTTTATGGAATTGAAATACTTTTATGTAATGTAAATTTTAATCAGTCATGTTAAAAAAAGGAAAAATACTAATTTGTTTTTGATCTACAATTAATGAAGATGGAAGAGCCCATTTTTATGTTTCCTACATATTCTCAAGTAAAAAAAATACAACAAAAATAGGCATAACGAATTTGAATATAACTATAAAGGTTTCTAAATTTCAATTAATCATTTGCATTTCTAGTTCTTAGTAAAATACTAAGAATTTATAATTATAGAATTCTCCACTCAAAAATAATTAACCTTTCCTTTATTTTGAATATAGATAATATATGAATCTTGATCTTTACAGTATATACTGTATTAAGTCCATTTTTTCAGTCCTGTAGTTGCTAAAAAGCATCATTTCACTTTACCGAGTGCATCAATAACTCAAGATAACAATCGTATTAAAATATTAAGCTCATATCAAACGTGCCTGATAGATAGCGGTAACGTTCTGTTTCGGGTAAAGGTGTATCCGGAAGCATCGAACATAGAAACAGAGAAACTTTGAAAAGTAATGTTGCTCTTTTTCTGATCCTGGAGATCCGGGGGACTGAAAGTAAGTCCTGGAAGAACACCATCTAACCAGACTTGTACAGTACATCTATTTTAAACCTCTTATAGTCCCTAAGGATTGTTGTAAATCTTTCATGCTGCACAGTTTAAAAGATTGTCACTTCATTGTCTCTCTGAAATGACTCCTTTCCTTTGATTTTCTGGAAATCCGTTTTCTGTTATAAATTTATTTGTAGATTTTGCCAAACTGTTAAAATGTGTTCTCTCTTGCGCAAAACACTGTGCATATTGCGATCCGACAAGGTTTTAGTGATGGCAAGTGCTCAGATTAAGTTACTTTTTTCTTTTTAGGTGACTCATTATTGAGCAGGTCTATTCTTTTCGGGGAAAAATCGGGATGAGAGATCGTCCTTCAAAACTCAGGCATGCATCAAGCAATGAGATCATTTGTGTTATAAATATCTCCGTGCCAGTAGAACTACTCTAGCTACAGCAGCCAGGGTTATGCCTACCAGAGCAGGAACTACAAGCGTGTGCACACAAGTGCACAGACCACAGGATCAACAGCAAAATGCTGGTGCTGATCTAGAACAAACATACCGTCCCTTTTTGGAAGAATGTGCTGTCCTTTCTGCATTTTCATTTTCGCTCATTTAATTTGCATCGTGCCCGTGACAGGATATGGAAAGGTTCCATTGAATGATCAACTTCTCGAAGACAGTAGCAATTCAGGTCGCAGGACTGGCAGACTTTACTGTAGGGTTGGCATTGGCTTTCATCTCCAGATTCACCCCGATGGCAGAGTTAATGGGAGTCATGAACCCGACGAATTAAGTAAGTTGATGCATTTAAAATTTGATTATACTGTACGTTGGTGATGAGAAAGACAACTATTAACATAGTTTGCGAATAAAACAAGATAGGAGGAAATTTTCGAATTACAGTTTTTTGCTTTCGCTACCCTCCATTCATTATCTACGCTGTTTTAATATATTCAACAATCAAATGTTGAATTAATTACATTTTAAGTTAAAAGTGTATTTCAGGTCAATGTACTTTACTTAAACGTTTAATGATTAATATAATATGGTTACAAGTCACAGAAATCAAGTACTGGCAGCAGTAACATGATAAATATCAATAATTAAGAATAAGTGTTGAAATGCTACTACAATTTTGATTTACATTCTTTTGAAGATATTGGTTTAATCCTGAGGCAAAGCTGGATGCATGACTGAAAAGTTAAAGACAAGGTAGCAAATCAGCCTATATTTGCACTGTATGTGATTCCAATAAATTATTAATTGAGCACGAACTGATGTGTTCTATTAGTTTTCTGGCTTCATTCCTTGCTTGTTCCTGTTTTAGTAATAGCAGGTATGTGGATAGCAGGTGCAACTCTAGGGAAGAGAATGTTTTAGCTAGAAACCAATGTGCCTGTGTCCTATCCAGTGCAATGCATCAAATGGTTGTCATAAGCCATGAATTTAGGAAAGTAATATTCACATTCTTTTTCGTATGACTGTATCATTGTGATAGGTTATATATTCTAAGCCTTAAATCCTTAAACAACTATATTTATCATTATTCAATTTAATTAAATTTAATAGTAAATTTATATTTTTTCTTTTGTTTTAAAAACCATAATAAATTGCAGACTATGCACAGTTGACACCAGTGAGACCTTCCCAATAATCTTATCCCAGGTCAGTTTTGATCCCTGCAATGAGCAGCAGTCCCATAGACTGAATTTATTCATTTCATCCATGTAATGTATAAGATAGAAAATAAATTGAAATATAAAGGTATTTTTGTAGTTTTGAGTTTCTATTTAAGTGTAATTATATTTAATTATATTACTAGAGGGATATACTCTAGTAATTGTATGGCAATAGTCTAATGGCTATTATTTTTCCTTTGCAGGTATTTTAGAGCTGTTTGCAGTGTCTCAAGGAGTTGTAGGAATTCGAGGAGTTTTCAGTAACAGATATTTAGCCATGAATAAAAAGGGAAGGCTCCATGCAATTGTAAGTAGTAAAATATTATTTTCAAGATAGCAAATGAAACAGGTGAAGGGAAAATTAAAGTGATATGAATAGTACCTTTTTTCATTCTGGCATTTTGTGTCATGGAAATGTAAATGATGCTTTTGGCTTTCTTGAGTAGTTTTCAAAACTAAATGTATAGTTCAAAATTGTAAAGGGTGTGATTGACAGTAAGCATGTTAAACAGTCTATTAACATATTCATTGGTTGGCTTAGAAATACAACTGGAAAGCATTGTTCACTGTTAACTCTAAGCAAATATCATGACTAATGCAAATACTGTTTAGTTCAGGTGGGAAGCTGCGTCATCATGCGTAGGCTGCATGCGTACACCTGAAGAAGCCTCCACGGCTGAAATGTTGTGTTCTCTTTCTTCTTCTTTTTTCAGCATGGAATAAACCCATAAATTGTTCTTTTAATGCATATATAATAATGATAATAATAATAATAATAATAATAATAATAATAATAATAATTGCTTACACTTATATAGTGCTTTTCTGGACGCTCCACTCAAAGCGCTTTACAGGTAATGGGGACTCCCCTCCACCACCACCAATGTGCAGCCCCACCTGGATGATGCAACGGCAGCCATAGTGCGCCAGAACGCTCACCACACATCAGCTATCAGTGGGGAGGAGAGCAGAGTAATGAAGCCAATTCAAAGAGGGGGATTATTAGGAGGCCATGATTGGTAAGAGCCAATGGGGAAATTTGGCCAGGACGCCGGAGTTACACCCCTACTCTTTTCGAGAAATGCCCTGGGATTTTTAATGACCACAGAGAGTCAGGACCTCGGTTTTACGTCTCATCCAAAGGACGGCACCTGTTTACAGTGTAGTGTCCCCGTCACTATACTGGGGCATTACATGGACCCCAGGGTGAGCGCCCCCTGCTGGCCCCACTAGCACCTCTTCCATATGCAGATTCTGTTGTAAAACTATTACTTTACTTTTTATGGAAGCATAAAATCTGCTTTACCTATCATTGTATATTCTATTTTATATCCCTGCCAGTTCTGAAAAAAATAAAATCCTGTTTGAATGAAGCAAACTACCCTACTGGTAGCAGCAGTCTATTAGCATGTGTAAATGGAAATCAAAGATTACAAACACCCTGTAACTGCAGATAGCAAACAAAGGAAGAAAGTCAAACAAAGAAAATGTACTATAGAACCTATATCCTCAAAACATGTCAATAACATTTTGATGTAATGTGTACAGTACATTGCAGAAATATCCTGTTGTGAATTTTCCGCTATTTTCTCTTGAAATTCTGATGCTGAAGGAACTGATGCTAGACAGAGATGTATAGTATTTTACGTCTGTGTCCAAATCAGTTCCCAGACCTTTATAAAGAGGTATGTTAGAACTAGTTTTATAATTCTCTAAAATGCAAAACAGCACAAAAATCTGGATTGACCATTTGCTGTATACTACAGTAGTATGCATTAGTTCAAAAACACTGTTGCTTTTTTGATGCTTTAAAGTTTTACATTTAAATATACATTAAAATACCCCATATAACATTATACTGAGCTTACCATGTTTTTCATCAATTGTATCACAATGATGGAGAGGTATTTACAAATAAGCTAACTAGAAAAAGGGTGATGAAATAATTGAAATGAAGATAATCATACAGACTAAGTCACAGTGGTACACCTCAAAAATCCTTGTTGGTACTGTACTGTATATGCAGCTATAAATGCAGCTGTATCTGATCCATCATTGCTGAATTAGGTTTTTTAACTACTTGAACATTATAGTTAAGCTATGCTGGCTTATTTGATGTTGGCTTGGTACCTTAGGTGTTCTTAACTTATTCAATTAGTCACTTTTAATGTAGCATGAACTTTCGGTATTTCTCAGGATCGTAATGTCTGTTTTGGAAGTTTCCATTACAGTGGTTAAAAAAATATCAGAGTGTGCAGACATTAAGTAGAAAGCACTGGAATGTAGGCATTTGTCTCCTGTACAACATATAATACATTATATTACCAGGTACACTTGAGAAATAAAAAGGGCTGCCAAGTGTGCTTTTGTGTAGCAACCTTTCAATGTTTTTACATATTTACATACTTTTAAAACAGTGATTAAAACCATTTTGCATCCTGCAATAAAGATCTTTGAAATTTAAGTCAAATTTGTAAAGGCATTCTATAAGTACACTAAGCAGTTCTGTTTCCTACAAGTCATTCTACACATCTATTCTTATCAGTTCGAAGCAGCAATTGTTTTGAAAAAAGGTACTGTGGTTGTAAATTCCCAGTCATTGCACAGTGTGCAATGCAACACAATCGCAACTTCAAACCATATTAACATTATTTCATATTTGCTGGAGATATTTTGTGCTGCAAATAAAAAAATATTCCAATTTTTCTGTCTTACTAATGAAACATTTTGTTTTAATTTTTCTACCTACTGTATGTTAGTTTGTTTAGACTCTACTCCAAAAATTTTAGAAGTCCAAACATAAGTCTTGTTGCAATGTTAAAGTTTGTATAGATAGTTCCAGTAAGTCACAGCAGCAAGAAGACTAAATGGCATGTTTAGAAACTATTATAATTTCCTAATTTTCTGCTATACTGCACTTTGCAACAGAGCAGAACTGATCTATTATTTTAAAATGCAATTTTACTGTTATGTAAGGCAGTGTTCAAATATATACTGCCTTGGCAATATTATATAATTTCCCACCGAAGGTATTTCTAGAAACTTGCCAATAGAGAAACTTTAAACAGGGTGGATATGTATTATATTAACATTGCTGTGGTGCCTTGAAAAGTTCGATGCTATAGTACTTTTCGAAATGGACTGAGAAATAACTTTATTTCTATTTATCTAACTAATGCTAAAACAATTTAAAATAACTGACCAGAATAGTTGTATACTTTTTACCCGTAGTCTGAAGCTTGTATTGGTCTGGTTGGTACATGTGTATATTTTTATGTCAAAATGTTACAACAGAATAATGTTCTCTACATACAGTGAAGAAAATAATTTATCAATTAATTGAACCAGCATACATTCCTAGTCAGATGTTGACCAAAATGTACTTCTATTTATGTAAACATAAATTAGTTAACATTGTAGACTTAAAGTAGATGTTTTGTAGATTGAGATTTTGTTCAAATCCATGTTGCCCTCTTGGTTAAATTACAAAATGAATGCAAAAATCATATCTTCTTTTTTTGCTGTCCTAGTTGTATAAAGTTGTTTCATGGATTAATGAGTTTTTATCAGTAAAAATGATTCCTTAGTACTGTTACTCACTAGTTCTTTGATAGAAAAGCCATTCTGATGACTCTACATTGAACAAGTGTAGAGATAAAAGTAAGCCTTAGAACTATATTTAACACATTTTAAACTTACTGTATTTTTAACAATCTATTTTTTCAACTTGTTTTTCTTCTCTGCTTGGTCCTGTTCATTAGCCTTCTTTATACATGGTAACCCAATCAATCCCCAAAGTTACCTGTTTTTCCCTGTTGGTCATACATTTTTATAGCATTTGGCATAGTTTTAATGTGTTTTGCCTTAACTTGACTAGGTTTATGATTAGTGCATTGAGTAACAGTAAATCATATATATTCAGATGTATCTTCATAGATCAACAGATCTATTAATGTGTTGGTATACTATCAAATATAGCCTAATATCAAACATGATGAAATACTAAATATTACATCTTTTAAAATTCATTTTTGAAAGGCATCCAATTATGTATTATCAACAGCATAATAAAAATAAACAATTACTGCTGTATTTCACATGTAAATAATGTACCATTTATAGCCTGAAAACTGTAAAGGACTGTAGATGTTTGTGACTAAATTAAAACAATGAAACCAAAAAAGAAGCATTTTGTAAGCACTGTTTCATTGTTGTGTAGTGCCTTTTCACCATGAAAGTGTAAAACACAGAGAATTTGTACTCTTAACAGAAATGAGAACAACAGACTTTTCAAAATATTGAAGTTAATATACAATGAGAATGTCTGTCAATATTTTAGCTTATTTTGAAACTATTGCAAGGTTTTTCTGAATATGTTATGTAAATCAGTAATACAAATGATACAGTATATATACTGTGTTTTTACTCTCCCCTGCCATGTAGGGGTTGTGCAGGCATATGGAATACCTACTAATCTCATAATGAAAATCCTTGTTTAAATGGGTCACTAGATAAATGAGTATTAGATTCCAAGATAAATTGTACGTCTTTGGAATAAATCCATTTGGCAGTGTCATTTTCTGCCTTCTTAGGGATACTAAGAAATTTCATCATAGATTTTACTCATGGATTCCAACACAGAAATGTGTGCTTCCCCTAATGGAGGAATGATCTAATGTGCTTGTTTAACATTTTTCAGTTTCTTATCATGCAACCAGCAGATAAGTACAGTTGCTAACAGCCAGTATGAAATATTCAGCTACAGTAGCACCTCAAGATGTTCAAGCACCTTACCATTAACATTGTAAAATATCTTACCCAGTGTTTAATTCTGAAATGGTTGTTTGATGAGAAATTTCCTGAAAAAGGATATGGGTGATTGTTTTTTCTTGTGTACAGCAATTATCTAATTAAAGGCCTTAATTAAAAAAACAATTGAGGTAACCTGGTAACAAAATTCCCTGATGTGAGGAAAGTATAAGAGCTACATGTTATTATTAAATATACTTTTGTTTTTACTATAGGTGGCTGTCAATGTCACACTTAAGTTTTTTGGCTCCTAGTCTTCTATTTGTTTACATCATCATCAACTACTGTATGTTTGTTCACCTTTACTGTCTTTTGAAAAACTGTTATTTTTTTAATGTTCTTCAACATGAAGCCTTGGAAGGCTCTTTCAAATCTGTGAATGACTCTTTTAAATTTGTATATTTTTCATTATTAATTTTTGTTTATTTTATTAGGGAAAATTCACTGATGATTGCAAGTTCAGGGAGAGATTTCAAGAGAACAGTTACAACACGTATGCCTCAGTGACACACAAGAACCACAGGACTGGAAGGGAATGGTTTGTGGCTCTGAACAAAAGAGGAAAAGCAAAGATGGGGTCCAGCCCCCGTGTAAAATCCCAGCATGTCTCTACGCATTTCCTGCCCAGATTCAACTTGCAAGAGAAAAGTGAACGGGGTTTTACAATCACAGACAAGAGCAGAGAAAGGAAAAAGCCACTGCCTTCAACACCAAAGCCTCCTGCACCAAAGGTTAACATGGACATTGGACAGAAACGTGTTAGAGTAGTAAAATACTGGCCCAAGTTCAGATTTGGATAAAAGTCTTAGGAAGACTAACTGGGATAACATAGAAATGGTACAGAGCTGGACTTGTTCTTAAAAAGGAGCATACACTGTAGCTTAGCTTAGAGCAAAAATGCTTTTCAAATACAAGAAGCATTCCAATCAGCAAATTACGTACAAGAAAAGGGGCTCACATAAATTCATATGACAAGAAGCTCAGAAAAATTATACAATTTATATATTGCTGCTGTCTTTAAAACTATTCAGAGTGGTCATTCTTTCTTCCAAAAGAAAAGTGGATAATTTATAGCTTGGTCATTATTAGGTCTTTAATTTGGACCTTTCAAGAAAACACACCTGCTGGTATAACATCAAAATATAGTTTACAAACCAAGCATTTTGACTGTCGATTACAACATATACATAAGCTTTTTATTGCCTGCACTAAAGACGTCACAGTTTTTGTTCTTGGTTTAAATAGAAATGTTCTTTTTATTTTCATTTTAGGATCTTAAAAACAATTTTCCTTTATAGTTTTTTTTTATTAAATGCTGTAAATGCATTCAAAACATTTATCTAGAAACAGACATACAGTACTAAAAATAAATGTTTTTTTTGTGAAATATGCCCCATAAAAGTCTTGCCATGTTTGTTATTTATGAGCTGAAATGTGAATTAGATAATTTAACCTCTTAGCCCAGGTTTTCTTTTCCAGAACAGCTGGAAGGATGAAATACAGACTGTCCATCAAAACTAACATTTTAGACCTGGCTGTTTAAAATATTCCTGTCATGACCCTGTAACATTCCTTCCAGGGAAGTTCCACAGGGATAAAGATGCCTTGCAAGAGGGCGACATGTTTTGAAGACAGCTCAAACCATAGGTGTATCAGATGGCAGCCATCAAGGTCACGGTCCATTATCAAACACTGCCATCATTAAATAACCAGCCTGTGAAATCTGCCCCCCAGGGACTTAGGTCAAAAAGGCAATGATTCCTGTGGTGATGTTTACAAGTGAAACAAATGACTTGAAGGCTATAATGAAATGCATTGTTCTTTAAAAAGATTCTGTGTCATGTAATTCACTCTTGTATAATTATTGCAGCCATCATATTTTGCCTGACTTTCCAACTTTGTGGAAGACTTTTTTTTAATAGTAGATACTTTTGTGAGTAATGGATAGTTACACATTTCCCAAAACATTTTTATATAGTAAAATCATTATTTCTTACGTGAATCAGATTATTATAATAAAATAATGAATTGGGAAACTTTGTGCCTTTTATCATATATTTTAGTTTGATTTTGAACAACAGTATTTAGCAAGTAATGACAAAATAATAGATATGAAAACCAGAACTCTAGTGTATGTGTTCTAATTAAATTACCACCATTCTGAATGTATTGCATGATTCTACAGAGTAAAAATATTTTTGTTGAAGTGTACTTCTCTTGCTTTCCATAAATGTGTCTTTGAGTATGAAACTCATAATTCCATAATAAAAGGAATAATTAAAAAATAAATGGAAATGTTTTTACACTAAGAATTTTAATGCTGCCAAAAGATTTATATACTGTAGGTCAAAAGTTTGGGAAGGAGGGGGTGAAGACCTTGTTACATATTCTTCATTCCAGTCCCTGGATTATTAATATCTTTCCAGATAGCTATCTCTTTAAAATATTCCATACTTAATGGAAGAAGTGGTTGTCTTGTTGGTGCAGTGACAACAACATGATCTCCCCTTCTTTTCTACAGCTTGGGAGAGTCTGTATTCTGTAACATAAATCAGGTTAGGGTACTTATATTATAAATATATTATTTGCCAGCAGTTTGAATCTTAATTCAAAAGCAATCTTTCAACTTACAATATTTTATGGGCCAGACTTTTGCAATTTATCAGAAAAGTCTGTTCTGTTGATTCGAAGACACTAGACCTAAAAAAAAGCCTAGGTTTAGGTTAACAAAAACCTCAAATGTATTTTTTTCCTACTATTATTTCTTAGATCTTACTTTTTATTGTTTATTCTTATTCCTCAGTTTTCAAATCATTCATGACTACGGTATATTTGAAATGAACTTTGTACCTCCAATGGCACATGGTAGGGAATCATAGCATTTTATTATTTCTTTGTTTAATTAGAATATTTCAGTATCTTAAAATGATTAGTACTAAAGTCGATTTTTTAAACATTTCTATAATATATTAAAGGTGTAGGGAATATCATTCTAAATATTTTTCACACTTTATGAAAATGTTTGAAAAGTGAAAAGGCATGAAGCTACTATACATAAGTTGACCATCTCAGCACAAACATACAGTATGGTAAAACTGTAGTCCCTTGATTGTGAGAGCATAGGTCCAAAGCAGGGAATCAGTAAGAGCAAATGTCTGCTAATATTTATAGAAAACATTGATGTAGTTGTTGTTACAGCATTAAGTACCATCATATAAGAACCAGTTCCAAGAGTTAGATCAACAGAATGCATCCTGCATATGCATTTAATGTTAGAATACAACTTGGATATTTGCTTTCTAACGTTAATTACTGATTATGTTCCCTCAAGACATTTTTCAACACCAAGAGAACTATCAAATGTCTCATTTAGTAAATGACCCTGCCCAGAGTGTAAAATAAATGGTACTACTTGTCGATCACAAATTGGCCGAAAATTTCTTGAGTAGATAAATAATAGAAAGCATTTCTTAAATGCTACTAAAGAAACATTCTAGTATTTTTTTATGTTTAAAAGCATTAAAACCATGTAAAGCTTGTTTTTATTTCATGTTATACTCAATATTTTAGTAATTCAGTACTATAATTGTATGCAGACATTTTTTAAAAGTAGTCTTTAAGGTGTGAGTGCCACAGATGTCTATATTTTAGCATCCTGAAAATGTTTACCAAACTTTTTACAACTATTAAGAAATAACTAAAGTCCCAATTCACTCTGTACTATTTGGTCACTCTGTCAGTGTCTTTTGCTTTTCAAGCTTATACTGTATACTGTAGTTAATAAAGCAAAAATAGTATAAATGTATTATTAAACTGTTTGCCATTAAAAAAACATTTCTAATTATGATTTTACATGCTACCATTCACAAGAACAACATGGAAGCTAAATCAGATGATTCATGTCATGTTTCCTATTATTTTAAGACACATTAATTTCAAGTGTTAAATTCCCCATTTATAACAAGAAAAGACACAGAACTGAAATTCCAAAAGGATATTTTATCTGCACTTTACCAGCCACAGACAATTAAAGTTAATAAGGGCTCAGTGAAGCATACTGCCAAGTGAAGTGCCTAATCTAACAAACAATTCACAAAAACATTTTAAATAAAACTCTTCATTAATCCGCAGACCCAGGGGAGCCATCTGCATATTGATGGATATCAAGACATAATGAGCATGTACTGTGCTTTTAGGGATTGTAAGAAAATACTGAAGTGAATCTGTGCTTTTCTTTAAATTTGCTTGTAGAAATCCTATAAAAATAAAAAAAAATTGGAATGAAAAGAATACATGTGAAAATGAGTACTAAAGGATCTGCAGCCTCAAATGCATTTAAACTGGGAAGGTTAATGGAAATAATATGTTAGTACACACCACAATCTTATGTAAAGTATGTCTCTAATTTTTCCTGGTACATAATGATGGGGTGAGGCCCAGGTATGTACTTCACAGAGAACATGCAGAGTACAATCCCACACTGGCACAGTATCACCACCAATCTCACACTTCCTGAACTACTCAGTCCACTTTTTTCCTCATTATAGTCTGCACTTTATGATATTGTGGCACTGCACAGGCCTAGTGTACCAGGCAAGTGCCTCTGACTCTGACTATGCTTTCCTAATTGATGCATCTCAAACATAAGGCTTTGATCAGTGAAGGTATGTTCCTGCCAGTGGTGATATTCCACTGGCTGCTTGTACATTCTTCTGTTAGACCTGTTATGTACCTGTCTCCTACATTGTACTGTTGTAGAGCTTATCTCACTTGAATGTGTTCACTGCCATAAGGTTGTCACCATGGATGTGTCTGTGTCAGGATGGTGATGCCTCTGGAGCAGCAGAGTAGTTAAATAGGTGAAATCTTGATACAGATCTGTTGGAGTTCCAAGCCATGCACTTGAATCTTGAACACTTCCTCTAAGGACAAGCATACATGTATGATCGTGAGAACAGACAACATTATGGTGTGGTATAACATATATAAATCACCAGGTTGGTCTGCATTGGTTTGATCTCCTAGTGAGTGTTGAGTGTTGTTTGCATCCAGTGGTCAATGGGACTGTTATGGACATGGACTGGCAGTATGACCTTTTTGTTTCACATTAATGTACCCACGTTTAGCAGGCACCCTCCTGAGCTTTGTTTGACATGGTATCAGTGGTGTACATGGTTTGCTTGGGCATTAATGTGCAAACTTGCCACATTCTAGAAATTAAATGCAGCTTGCTCTCAGCATTAGGAAATTCATTCTGAGCCTTCACCAGCTTAGCTTTCACCTCCATTTCCAGCGCTTTGAAATACTTCTTCTGTTTTGGGCATGGGTACACATGCTAGCCATATGCCAATCTCTGTATTTCAAATGAAAGGGAACAATTAGTAACTCACATAATATTGGATACCTCAAGGAGAAATGTAGTCATTACCTACTGTGTGTTACAGTTCCAGCATCCCTCCATCAGAGGGCACCCCAACCTCTAGTGCCTACTTCATCGGTGCAGCTGAGGCGCAGATCAAGCAGACAGCAGTAGCCAATTCCTGCTTGCCCAGTGTCCCTACAGTACCTCACCATGCCTCCCCTCCCTAAACCTATTTAAACCCCGCTCTTTGTTCAAGCTGTGCTCAGTATTGTTTTCAACTCTTTGAACTCTTGAGCTAGCCTTTGCTGAACCCTTCCTGAACTCCTTGCCCGACTTTTGGTTTTTAGCCTGTTTCCTTGATACTAAATTTGTGTTCTGGCTTTGGACGTTCACTCACATCTTGACCCTGGCCTTGGATCTCCCTAATTTACTGTTTTAGGATTTTTGTGACCTTGAAACCCACATCCATTCCTTGTTTTCAGAGCTGTGACCAGCTTTACACTGTGGTGACTCCCTAGATGGCCTCTGAATAAAAAAAAATGATACTGTCCCTCCAATCTCATGAGGATGTAAGTGTCACGGACGTCCAAAGGGACTAACCGTGGGGAGCAGGAAAGCAGAAAAAGACCCATATGTGTAGCGGCGAGACGGGAAAAAGGCCCGGGCTCATTAGTGCAAAGAGTTCAGGAATGCCGTATAGAAACCTATGCCCTCAGTGAGCGGACGTGGGGCGCCCTGGTGCTAGGCGGGTCTCAGGACATCCGAACAACAATGCTGAGCGAGGACA